ACTGAAACTGGGAGGGGGGCCTGAGGGGGACATGCTCTTCCATCCTGTTCCTGAGTAGGGTGGGTGGGTGCTGGATATGAGCAGGATGGGGGAGAGAAGGTGGTGGGGGTGGGTCTGGGCTGGTGGACAAAGAAAGAGACAGAGTCAGGGGTGGAGGCCAGGATGTAGGACTGGCTGAAATCACCTGATCTCACCTAAGTTGGGCATTTTGACCATAGCTCCTTGCTCAGGAGTCCTTGGGTGGTTGGGAAGTGGGGGTGGGATGTAGGATAGGGCGGGGAAGTGAGGGACATGGCTGTTTGTAGCTGAATAGCCTCTGCCTTGAGGCTCTCTGGTATCACTGGCTCGGGGACGGGGAGTCCATCTCCCCCTCAGTGCCCAGAGAACCATGTCCTCAGAGTGGTCCAACCCTAACTTCACAAATAAGGAAAGAGATGTCTAGAGAAGTGGGTTGCCCAGTGGCTGACATGTGGGTGAGTCCATCTAGTGATTTTTTTTCTAACACGTTGTTGTCGGCTCAGGAAGTGATTTTGAGAAGGGATGAAGGCTGGGGTGGGAGGAACACTTGTGGATTTTCACTCCTCAGTCAAGGAATGGCTGTCTCCCAGGTCATTATCAGGAGACTGGCTCTGGGCAGCAGTCCAGCTGGCATTTCAAGGAGCTCTGCTAAGGGACAGGCGGCATGTGGGGTAGTTCACAGACATTGTCTCATTTTCGCAGCCTCTGAGATCAATGACATAATCCCCAGTTCCTAGACAGGGAACTCAAGCTCAGAAGGGTGGTCAGCCATGGGGAAAGGAAGGACAGGGCAGTGGGGTTGGCAGTTGGCCTGGGACCAGTGTGATGTGACAGTGTTCACCCTGCTTCCCACGGGGGCTGGGTGGGAGTGGGGAAGGGTCTCAACTCTCACCAGAGAGGGAGCTGGGTGAACGTGCTGACTGCCTATACACTCAGACCATTATTATCCTGTCCTAGTCTCTGATCCCTCTGAGGCCAGGGGATGGATTTAGACTCTTTTGGTACCTCTTTTGGAAGACTCTTCAGACAAAAGCAGGGCTGAAGGTACACCACCCCCTGTGACCCCTGTGGCCAGGCCAGGTTCCTCTTGACCAACCACACCCCTGTCTGCCCGGCGACCTGCCTGCCTGGGCCTGCTTCCACACCTCCTCTCTTCATTAGCAAGGCTCTTCCAAGAAGCACCAGGCCCAGGCCCTCCGGATGGCAAAGGCTGGACAGGGCAGGGCTTCCTGTGCTCTGCTGGCAGATTCTTGGCTCTGGAATGTCTCTAGAGGACTCTGACTTCTTGGTTACTCAAGCTACTCCAGTGGCCAAGAGCCTGAGGGCGTGAGGGAAAGCCGCTGGGTAGACCTCTCTCTGCTGAGAAAGTACAGCTTCTTTACCAAGAGCTCTGGGCTTTGGTGGCTTTCTAGAGCATGCCAGGGATGGGTAGGTTTGAGCCGCTTCAGCTGCTGGCCAGAGGCTGAGCTGACCTGGAGAGATGGAATTCTGGAGTTCCAGCCTCTGAGCTAGAGGGGAAAGTGAGAGTTTGAGGTAACTGTTCCTCGAGGCAGAGGTGGGAACCCATCTCCTAACTAGCTGGACAAAGACACCTGCTGGCATTGTTTTGGGACACAGGTGGCCTCTGGAAGGCCTCTCCAGTGCCTCTGTGGCCAGTCTTGGCAAAGAAAGAATGCTCTAGACCAGGGGCTGTCAACCTATAGCCCACAGGCCAAGGCCAGCCTACTGTCTATTTTTTTTTGAGACAGAGAATCACTTTGTTGCCCTGGTAAAGTGTCATCATTCAAAAACCTCAGACTCCTGGGCTCAAGTGATTCTCTTGCCTCAGCCTCCCACATAGCTGGGATTACAGGCGTCCGCCACAACACCCAGCTATGTTTATTTATTTTATATTTTATTTATTTATTTATTTCGAGACAGAGTCTCACTTTGTTACCCTTGGTAGAGTGCTGTGGCATCATAGCTCACAGCAACCTCAGACTCTTGGACTCAAGAGATTCTCTTGCCTCAGCCTCCCAACTAGCTGGGACTACAGGCACCTGCCACAAGGCCCAGCTATTTTTAGAGACAGGGTCTCGCTGTAGCTCAGGCTAGTCTCAAACCTGTGAACTCAGGTGATCCACCCACCTTGACCTCCCAGAGTGCTGGGATTACAGGCATGAGCCATCACACCTGGCCTTTTTTTTTTTTTATTGGCCAGGGCTGGGTTTGAACCCATCACCTCCAGCATCTACAGGGTCCTTTGAGCCACAGGCGCCCTGCCGCCTGACCTTTTCTGAATGTTTTATTGGAACAAAGTCATGCTCATGTGTTCACTTCTTGTCTATGGCTCCAGTAGCAGAGACCATACAGCCAGCAAAGTCTAAAATATTTACTGTCTGGTCCTTTACAACAAATGTTTACTCACCCCTGTTCCAGACCTCCAAAGATCTGCTATCCTGTTTCCTGGTGTTCAAGTTCAGAGAGGCTTCTGGACTAAGGGGCTGGGCCTGGCCCAGGTGGGTAGTGCTGTGATAGGTGTCCAGGATGACCACGTGCCCTGCACAGAGCCAGAAGGCTGGCCTGGCGTAGCTAAAAGCGGAGCTGCTTCTGCTCCTCTAACGCTCTGCCTCCTTTCTTCCCCACCCCGTCCTGCTTTAGCTCTCCCCCAGCATGGCCAACAAGGGTCCTTCCTATGGCATGAGCCGTGAAGTACAATCTAAAATTGAGAAGAAGTATGATGAGGAGCTGGAGGAACGGTTGGTGGAGTGGATCGTAGCGCAGTGCGGCCCTGATGTGGGTCGCCCAGACCGTGGGCGCTTGGGTTTCCAGGTCTGGCTGAAGAATGGCGTGGTGAGTGGCACCCTGGGAAGGGGGGCTAGGATTATGCCAGCCTGCAAGTCATGAGCCCCTGAACTGAGTGCCAAGCTCTGCCCTGTGTCTGACAGATTCTGAGCAAGCTGGTGAACAGCCTGTATTCTGACGGCTCCAAGCCAGTGAAGGTACCAGAGAACCCACCTTCCATGGTCTTCAAGCAGATGGAGCAGGTGGCTCAGTTCCTGAAGGCAGCTGAGGACTACGGGGTCACTAAGACTGACATGTTCCAGACTGTGGACCTCTTTGAAGGTATGAGGAAAAAGGGCTGGGCAGGTGGAGGACAGATGCTGAGGGAATGATCAAAATTTGTCCTAAGGGGTTTGCTAGTCTGTGCATAGTGGGAATGGAATACACCAAGAGAATTCCACACTACACTCAAAAGGCCTGCTGTGGGATCAACTGAAGCTTCCTTCGATTTAGGGACAACTCTTGTCCTAGTTTGGCCATTTTTCCATGACAGCGGGGGGCAGGCCTTGGCTTGGGTCCCTGTTTTATACAGTCTGACATTTGTCCCCGCTCTCCTCTTTCTTCTCACAGGCAAAGATATGGCAGCAGTGCAGAGGACCCTGATGGCTTTGGGCAGCTTGGCAGTGACCAAGAATGATGGGCACTACCGTGGAGATCCTAACTGGTTTATGAAGTATGTGGCCCCAGGGATGTCCTGCACTCTAAGCTTGGGTCTCTACATGGCAGGGGGGCAGCTCAGGCTAACCAGTCTATGGAAGTGGGCAGGGAGGTGATAGCCCCGAATAGACAAAGTGAAGGTCGAGGATAGCGGGGGGAATAAGACTCTAATACTTCTTTTTTTGTTTTTTGAGATAGAGTCTCACTCTATGGCCCTGAGTAGAGTGCTGTGCCATCATAGATCACAGCAATCTCAAACTCTTGACTCAAGCAATCCTCTTGCCTGAGCCTCCCCAAGTAGCTGGGACTATAGACCCCCGCCAAAATGCCCAGCTAGTTTTTCTATTTTTAGTAGAGAAGGGGTCTCACTCTTGCTCAGGCTGGTCTTAAATCCACCTGCCTCAGCCTCCCAGAGTGCTAGGATTACAGGTGTGAGCCGCTGTGCCTGGCCCCTTGTACTTCTTGATTCTTTGCTTTCTCAGCCAGTCTCATGCCTAGCCTATGGGGCAAGCTAGATTAAGTAAAAAGGAGAAGTGACTAGGAAGGCCCTGGGATTGTGCTAGGAAGTAACGGAGGGATCAGAGAACAGGTGGGAAGCATGCCGTCCTGCCGGGTCTTTATCCTGATTCCTCCTCTTTTAGGAAAGCACAGGAGCATAAGAGGGAGTTCACAGAGAGCCAACTGCAGGAAGGAAAGCATGTCATTGGCCTTCAGATGGGCAGCAACAAAGGGGCCTCCCAGGCCGGCATGACAGGCTACGGACGACCTCGGCAGATCATCAGTTAGAGAGGGGAGGGCCGGTCCGGAGCCCTTCCCTTCCCTAGTTCCTTGGCTGCAGTCATTGCTTAGCCTGCCTCACCCCCACCTGTGTAGTTCCTTCAGCCCCGGCCAAGCTTTGACGTTCTGTCACTGAGCAAAGGGGACTGCACATGGGCAGCTCCTTCCCACCTCCCCAGCCTTAGCCTGACCTCTTGCCCCAAAGCACCACTGCCCCAGCCCCTTCCTCCCAGCTGCCCTGCCACTCAACTGTCTCTCCCCTGGACTCTGCTCGGGTGGAAGCGGGCTGGGGGTAAGCCTGGGTTGGGGCAAGTCCACCGTCTTCCTGGGCTTCAAAAGCCCATTGAAGGAAACCCAGCCCAGCCTCCCTCTCTCTTTTCCTGGAATATCTTTTGAGTGGAAACTCAAAGAGGAAAAAATATATATATATACATCAATCTTTTCTCAGGCCTGGCCGGCAGAGTTTGATTCGCCCTAGTCACTTTGGTTTCAGTGCCAGGAAATCAGAGCAGGAACAGGCAGGTGTCTTGAGTCTATTTGTGTTCCTGGCTGCTGTCCCCTGAAGGACCGTCACACTTCAAGACTCTGGGAGAGTCTGATGCTTTCCAAGGAATGAGGCTGTGGATCAGGAGAGTGAGCCTCAGGGATTGAAGGGAAAGAGAAGCCACTTGACAACTTGCATTAGCTTTGGGGAGGCAGAAGGAAGGAGAGATGGGGTTGGCAGAATTGTTTGGAAGGTTTTTATTTTGGAAAAGCTGTGCAGAAAAAAATTCAACAAAATGTTGCTGTGAAAAGAGAAAACCAAATCTTAAGCATTAAAAAAAAAATCTCCGATCAGCCAACTAGCTTGGGAGGCCAAGAAAGGAAGGCAGAGTCACAACCTGAGAGGCAGACAGCTGACCTCCAGGGGTAAGGCCATTTCCCTGAGCACTTTGCAGAGGAAGACAGGGTGGTCGCAGGACTGGGGTTGCAGTGGCTCCCAAGGCTGCCTCCTAAAAAACACACGTCTGGCCCCTGCTCTGCACCTCTGCTGCAGGATCCTCTTCTGAAGCAGCACAGGCCCATGGCAGCCGTGCCCACCCTCTGCTGTGCCATGAGCACTGCACCAGTCCTTCAGAAGGATGGAGGGCGGGGCTAATGGTGAGGGAATAGGGTGCAAGGTTGGCTTCTGATCTGGGATCTGGGGTAAGGATAATGGAGGCAGCTGCATTCAGGACAGGCATGTCTGGGGGCTCTTCCCAGACTCGATCCCTAAGTCCTCTTCCCAAGTGACCCCAGTGATGTTTCCATTGAGATGCTCTCCTGACCATGGCAGCACCTTCTCAACCCATGCATGGTCTGGGAGCCCCATGCATGGGGGCACCTAGACAACTGGTTTGCCCAAGAGAGATGAGGATGGAGGCCTCCCAAGGAGGCACCTATCTCTTGTCCAAGACCTTCTTGCCAAAACTCTGTTCAGCTGGAGGAAGATCCTGCGGCTCTTGCCAGACTGCTGTCTGGTACCAATCCTCTGCCACTTGTACCTTAGGAAGGCCCTCACCCTGCTGAGCGTAGTCAGAGGATGCTGTGTAGGCCGCAGATTCCAGATGGAAGCATCAGGACGGCTTCCCCTCCAGAGCTCTGGAAAGTTGTGAGCAGCTTCCTAAGCTTCCCCACTTTCGGGAAGCAAGAGCCTGTCCCGCACTGAGTCTGTGAGGCCCTGCTATCAGCAGATCTGCTCCTCCTTCCCCTGCAGAAGGTGGAGGGGTTGGTGCTGATGAGAGCAGTCCAGGGCACTCTTGTTGTTCTGGGACAGGTTCCAGTCTCCTTGATCTGGCAGGTCTCGGGCAAGGAGGCCAGAGGAGGGGGGAGGACCCCTGCTCTCTGCTTCCACTCCGTCTAGGTCCTTGCTGCTGCAAAGTGGCACTGACTCTAGCTCTGTCCCCTCCTCCCTGGCTTTTCGGCTCCACTGGGGCCAGTGGCAAGGTCCATTCCTACAAAGTGAGTTGGAAGATACATTCCTCTGGCTCAAATATATTTCCAGCATGTAGTAGACAGTCCAGAAGACGGTAAAACAGCCGACCAGCACCAGGGTCTGGAGGAAAGTCAGGCACCCGTGTGAGGGACTGCAGTATTTCTCAGCCCAGAACAAAAAACTCAGGAAGTCTCTTCCCTTCTGGGGACTGCCTCTCCCACCTCAAACCACTTGTGCTTCCCCCCAACCCAGGCTGCCCTTTAAGAGTTAGCTAGAAGAGTAGGAATAGTGCTGGGGAACCACACTGCTGGGACCCAGGTCCTCCCAACCTGTCATTCCCCAGGTCACCTGGAGCATCACATCAAGGACCAACCCCTCCCCCCCAACTGACAGTCTTGTCTGCCTGTAGCTTGAGTTGTAGCCCCAATACCTTGAGGGTGTTAGGAGTGATGGTATAACCATCCTCTTCAGGAATTTTCAGCCCAGGTGGGCAGGGCAAAGTGAAGCCATCATGCAGGTATTTTCCACTCATGGCGCTTTCCAACAGCCTATGGAGAAGAAAAGGACACCCGACTGAACCCGTTTCCTATACCACCTGTCCTCACCCATCCTCCTAAGTCACTGCTGCAGAGAGGGAATCCCCACAGCAAAAAGGGGGAGCAAACTGTGAGCCGCCAGCCCACGGCTCTATCTACTGGCTTGAGACTGGAACTGGGAAGCCAGTTGGGATTCAGAGGGAGATGGGCTCCGTAGGTGGCCCTTTCTCCAGCCCCCTCTGACACATACAGCCATGCATACCTTTGTCTGTCCCTGATGTCTACTGGACCCCACACAGAGCCATACAGGGTTAGCTGCCAGTGCTGGAGGACGCCCACTTGCAACGATTCATCTCCTAGGGCAGCAAGCAAGGTAGTCATGAGCCAGTCCTCCTGTTGGCCACACCAAACAGCAGAGGCCCTGCCTGCCCCGCCACCCAAAGGGGCTCAGACCACATGGCCTCATGTAGTAGTTGTCTGTGTCCCACTGATCCCAGATTCTACAGAAGAGCCTCGCCGGGTACCCTTAGAGATGGAAAGGAGAGTTGAAAGGTTCCTCTCCAAAGCAGGGAAGTCTTCCCTTTATCTCTCATATTTTGGGGTTGCAGCTGGGATTTTGCTTGGAAAAAAAATGTCTTTCTACTAAATTAAAGAAAAGTTTAAAAACCACTGGTCTAGTGAATACCTAATTTGACTGGAATTTGGGAGGGTTGGGCTCAATTTACAGTCTCTTTGCTGATACTGAAGATATTTGATAGTCACAGATACTGTGACCCTCCGTAAGTCACTTCAAACCTCTGGGCCAGTTAAAAAAAAAAAAAAGTGAAAATTAGTCCTGCCCTTACCTGCCTACCAGGGCTGGCCGAAGGATGGTTATATGTGAAAGGACTTGAAATGTGGTTTCAACAAGGAATTTTGGTTGCTATCCTGAGGAGAAATGGATCAGTCACTTCTCCAAGGAATATGAGAAGTCGTATCAATGAACAGTTTCAGATATCAATGCTCAGTTTTTGGATGGGGCATGCTTGTTGGCATCAACCCTCTTGGTCCAATGGCAACCCTGAGCATTCCACAAGGGACTCCTTCTGTGGGGACTCTAAGATGCAGAGGGACCAGAGGACGAGCGGGAAAGGCAGGGCCCTGCGGGCAGGGCAGGGAGGCTTACCTACGTCCCTGACAACCAGCCTGTAGACCCCTTTTGCTCTTTCCCCCCAGCATCGCACAGTGGAGAAGGTCCAGTCGTTGAAGCCATTGGGATCCCTGGGGAAAGAACACAGCAGGAAGCCTGCAAGGCACGGCAGGGAGCTGACCCCTTCCTCCAGAAACATTCCTTTCTTAATGTAGTAGCTACAGAAATGAGATACAGCCATTTGGGAAGGTGCCATGGAGGCTGGGGTGGGGGGTGGGGGAGTTGGTGCTATCCGTGCCCCTGGGGTTTCATGGGTGCAGGGATCCACGCCATGGCAGAAGGTGCTGCCGTAGCCAGGAGGGATAAAGTGTGGAGTGAGCACAGGCTCAGGAGGCAGACACGGTTCCTTCTTACTCTCTAGGCACTTACTAGCTCTGTGCCTTGTTTCCTCCTGTAAAAGGACGTTACAAAGTCTATTTTACAGGGTTCTTGGAAGGATTAGAGAAAATGCACCTAAAGCATGGTGCCCAGCACATTGCTAGCACCTGAAGAAAGCATGTGCTAGATGGCTTCGCGCTGCTGCCAGGGAAATGCCCCGAAGTGCCAGTGTCCACTTCTCTCAGATCTTTTCACTGGAAAATCTCTAGCTGCAGAAAGAGCTCGGAGGACCACGGGCAAGTGTACGTACGAGTCCATGCTGCGGGGGGCGCCGATGAGGGACATCATGCCACTGGGGCAAAACAGTTTCAGTTCCAAGCTGCCGCGCCGTGGGTGAGTGATGGAGACTGTCACTGCCACGTGCTCCAGGGTCTTCAGCCCCGACATCTCCAGGTCCATCCTGCTGACTGTGGAAAGTCAGGCTGGGCAGCTGGGAAACCAGCCCACAAACACGCCCTCACTTCATCCCAACATACACAAAGGCACGTGCTCATTAAAGCCACACACACACATTTACACCAACCCTAGCAGGGCCCCAGCGTACGCTGGTAAATGGAATGGACTGGCTGCGTTCAAGTTTACCGTCTAGTTCCGAGTCTAACAGGGAAGACAACACATTCTCAAGATACAGTATCAGACCCAACAGAGCAACTTGAATCATGCATTCATCCCCAAATTATTTACTGAGTACATTTTAGGCACTGTACTAGATGCTGGGAATGTAAAGATAAGTTGGACATAGTCCCTGCCTTTTACCTGCAAGTGGAAAATGATATGAGATAGATGACGTGTATATAAGTGACAAGGGAACAGAGATGAGTCACATGTGTTTGGGCACAGTGAAGTGACACACACTCTGAAGAAGAGAATGAATCCAGATTGAAAAGAGGGTCAGTGGATGGTATTCTAGGTAGGGGAAATGGTATTCCTAGAGGCAGAAATGAGTAAGTCTCATGGAGAATACAAAGTTGATTAAAATAATACTGAAGTGCCAGCCTAAGCAAGAGCAAGATCTCGTCTCTCCTAAAAATAGCCAAGTGTTGTGGCAGGTGCCTGTAGTCCTAGCTACTCAGGAGGCTGAGGCAAGAGAAACTGTTTTTTTTTTTTTGAGACAGAGCCTCAAGCTGTCCCCCTGGGTAGAGTGCCATGGCATCACGCTCACAGCAACCTCCAACTCCTGGGCTCAGCCTCCCAAGGAGTCTCCTGCTTCAGCCTCCCAAGTAGCTGGGACCACAGGCACCTACCACAATGCCCGGCTATTTTTTGGCTGCAGCTGTCATTGTTGTTTGGTGGGCCTGGGCTGGATTCGAACCTGCCACCTTAGGTGTATGTGGCTGGCGCCTTAGCCACTTGAGCCATGAGGAACTCTTGAGAGTTTGAGGTTACCGTGAATTATGATGCCCTAGCACTTTACCAAGGGCAACAGAGTGAGACTCTGAAAGAGAAAGAAAGGAAGAAAGAAAGGAGGAAGGGAGGGAGGGAAGGAGGGAAGGAAAAACAGAAGTGGATAAACTTCAAGAAAATTATGTCAATGAAAAAATCCAATCTCAAAAAGATATACAGATGACTTTCATGAAATAATGTAACTGTGGAGATGGAGAACAGATCATTGCTAGGAATGGGATGAGGGAAAGGGTGTGGCCATAAATGGGTAACAACAAGGAGTCTTGCGGTAATGGCCCCTTGGGCTCTTGGTTGTGGGTGTGGTTATGCAAGGCTACATGTGTGATGTGATAAATTGCACAGAACTGCCAAACACAGAAGTACCGGTGCATGTGTAAGTGGTGAAATCTCAGTAAATTCTATGGATTGTGCCAACATCAACTTTTTGGTTTTAATGTTGTGCTATAATTGTGTGACACATTAACATTGGGAGAAAGGTATATGGGACTTCTCTTGTACATTTCTTAGCAACTTTCCATAAATCTATAATCATTTCAAAATAAAAAGCTTTTAAAAAAAACATTTAAAAAGCTACTGAAGTGGAAGGCTCAATGGGGGACTTTAAGAAATTAGATTGGCCGAGTGCGGTGGCTCACACCTGTAATCCTAGCACTCTGGGAGGCTGAGTCAGGTGGATTGCCTGAGCTCACGGGGTCAAGTCCAGCCTGAGCAAGAGTGAGACCCTGTCTCTAAAAATAGCCAGGTGTTGTGGAGGGCACCTGTAGTCCCAGTTACTTGGGAGGCTGAGGCAAGGGAATCGCTTGCTTGAGCCTAAGAGTTTGAGGTTGCTGTGAGCTATGATGTCACCGTACTCTACGCAGGGCAACAGAGTGAGACTCTGTCTCAAAAAAACACAAAACAAAAAACAAAAAAAAAAGAAATTAGATTGCTGGCTGGTCCAAAGGTAGTGAGTTACCTCACTTGGTTGTTCACTGTCACGTGAACTCCTGTTCTACTCTTTCCCCTCTTATTACTGCACTTGACTAGTCCTTTTTTTTTTTGAGACAGAGCCTCAAGCTGTCCCCCTGGGTAGAATGCCGTGGCATTACAGCTCACAGCAACCTCCAACTCCTGGGCTCAAGCGAGTCTC